ATAGCGTTTAGTTTTATATTTAGAAATATTTGTCGTGTTGTATTTACTTGTAGTTATCAATCCATCTGAAAAGAGTTACATCTTACAAGGTCTCTTGACATATGTATTTTTTCGATGTATTGTTTTACATACCTCCCATTAGGTCTGATTTAAATAAACTGGATTTATAATATAATATATAATATTCATAGATGTATTACAAACACTTTTCCACTGCAGTGTATTGAGGATTTCTTTTGACTTCAGTGAATAGGGGGAAATTGTCTGTCTTTATAGAGTCGCTATCATCAGGAAATTCGACTACATCCCAAATTATTCATTCTTAAGCTTATTTATGTAGGTATTTTCTAAATGATTTTTTTTTCATTTTGTTGTGATTTTTTTGATCATGTAAGTTGAGGTTATTTTATAAAATATTACCAGATTTTTTCTTAATCTTACTAATATTATAAATGCATGTAAGTTTGTTTGAACGGCTGTACGAATCTCGATGAAATTTGGCACGCATGTAGGATATAGTCTGGAAGAACACATAGGCTACTGATTATGTTTTCTTTTATTATTCCTCGCTGACCGAGTCGCGGGCGATAGCTAGTTTGCTAATATTTCTTGTACCATTCCAACTAAGCTCTGATATGGTTTACGACAATAGTGTCCATGTCCATCTCGACCATGTGATTAGTAATCCGTACCCTTAGCTATTAGGCTATTGACGCTTAAAAGTTAAAAGCAAGTTTTTTTTTCTATTCCTATTAAGCTCGTCTGTATAATGATTATTTGTATATTGACACTTTAATTATAATCTTGTCAAGCAATTTGTATCCATTGATTTGATTTTTGTCTACATGTTACCCCGAGGCTGTAGAGTTAGCGAGACCGATATTAAATACACTATCAATTTTCTCTACATCGACTTGCTAATTTAATCTCGCTTATGAATATGACAGTCTCGTTAGAGAATATGACCTTTTCATGGTCCACTCAACCATCCCTTATTGGCATTGCAATATGAACTTTATCTTGATTGCTATAAAGTTCTATTTTGCGTGAATGTCAATTTTGGTATATGATTTTGGACTTTATTGCGATAGCTTAAGGTCGTGGTGTGGGCGTCGTTTAGGTTTGGAATCCAACCTTAAATCCTACGTAAGGCAATATTAGGTGTTTGGCATATTAATGAGTGCCCACGTGCTTTTGGATTTAGAGGTTTCGACATAGAATCATAGTATATCGTTTTAGATAAACTAAGATTTGTTAATCGTACATTATTGGTAAGAGCCAATTATATTGCATTTTTATCTTGTGTGGGGTTTTATCCGGTTTGGAAAGGACCAACTATTTTTGACTTTGATTTGATATTGCGAATAAATTTGTAATTCTTTGATGTCAACTTACTTCCATAATTTTCGTGTTTCAGTTAGTTCAAACGTTCAATATTATAAACTCTGTAAAAACCTGCATATGTTAGAAAAATACAAGTAATTTAAACTAGATATTATTATAGTAGAGTACACTTCCAATGTTTTGCTCTCAATTGGCTTGGAAATGTTATTTATCAGCGTCTTATCAATGTCCGATATCGGCGGAGAAATGCGACGCCCTATCGCGTCTGGCTCGCTTCAAATGTAAATAAGTATGAAATTAAACCAGCAACATATCTTATTATTTATATGGTCATGAAATTATCATGACAACGAGGTAAAAGATTAAATGCATCACAGTAGACTAATAAAAATGACTCAGCCTTCTGTTAAGACATTTTGTCGTTTTATCTAAAGTAATTTTAAGACAGTATGTTTTTGATATATTATCTCACAGTATAATAGATCGAAACTAGTCTACTAGTTAGTACTACTACTAGTAGTTCCTAGACTAGGAAATATTTATGTTTCTTAGGACAGCATAATTTGTAGGATGACAGTCCAGAGGAGGCATAGCACAGCCTCGACGTGGTGGTGCTATAACAAGACTAGGCTTAGACTTGGCTTGGCTTTGGCAAGAAGAGTTCGGCGAGGCATTGCCGTTAACAGTTTTTTGACTCTACGTCATTTGGATAAAGATATGATAGGAAAGAACTGTCAACTGTTTTAAGAGAGATAAAAGTTTAAATTGGTGGTGATGAGAGTTACCATGTTTTACCATAGGATTTGATAACACATTATAAACAGGAATCGATATATTAAGTGACGTTGGTGTATTTATGACGCCTGCCTGTATGTATTTTAGTCTTTAATGTTTAGGCAGTTCAATCGACGTGTGCGTCTATACTCCAATGCTAACCGAATTACACGACCTCGCTCTATATAAATGTATGAAATATTTCATTGTTTCATATATCTTGATCATAGCTTTATTGTATCTTACTAATATTATTAATGCGAATGTTAAGATGGATGGATGTTAGAATTTATCTTAAGAACAGCTCAACGGATCTCGATGGATGTAAGACATAGTCTGGAAGAACATATAGGCTACTTATGTGTTTTTTTAACCGGAGACGCTAGCAAAATATATTAAACAATTTTTATTTGATTTACAATATTAATTCTGAAGATTTATTTACCGGCCTATTTCGTTATTTTGAAATCTACAATGCTCCTATTCAAAGTATAAAAAAATCTATACTTTATTAGATCTCTATAAGTTATGGTATGGTCATAGACTAGCCTCTTTTCATTTTATTATACGTAATAGATACCATGACCTCAGGTAATTCATTCATAAGTATTGATTAAGGATAACTACAAGGTGGGGCGGTTTAATTGGGTCAATTATTTTGTTCAGACACGCTTACGTGTTTTATATCCGAGTTTCCATTTAAGAAATATTTGTATAAAAACTGTGACGATTAGTTTTTTACCCGGTTTACAAGAGAGTAATGTTTGCCACACAATAAATGTATGTGTGTATGTTTGTAACTCAATGAACGAATCAATTTTCACTAGTGAGATGTTACTCCATTCGTTTTCTTCCCCCGACTGACAGAGAATCAGAGTAATTGTTTGGTTTTATAAAGAAACTAACTGTGTGCGACTCTGTCGGAGCGCAATTAGAAAAACTTAATTAGTAGCCTATGTGTTTTCCAGACTTTGGTCTACATGTATGCCAAATTTCAGCGAAACATATTCAGCCGTTTTGGCACCTTCTAACAAACATCTATCTATCCAAACATTCTCATTTATAATATTAGTAAGATTGTGTTATGTATATTGTGTCGGCGGTGGAAACTCACAGTAAGTCATTCACATGTCGTTTAACCGACCGTATTACAGTTAAGATAAAATGGAAACTAAAGCATAGCTGAAAGCGTTCCCAATTTAACACTTTCACTGACACGCCGACAGCGAATAACATTGAGCGAGATACTTAGAATCGATTTCCTAGATCTACCGAGACGTTTTGATAATCTCGATATCGATTTTGTATACGATCATGACTGTTAGAGCTCTACCTTTGCCTATTTTTTGGGCTACAGAATTTAAAAAAAAAATTCAATTAGTATTCATTCAAACTTGCATAAATTGAAATTACTACAGACTACAGTTTTTTTTTAATTCAATGAGTAAAGAATTTTGTATGTATTTCTATGAGTTGTCTATTCTATTTCTAAAGTAATTTATCGTGAAAAATGTGAATATTATTCGATCTTCTATATGTTTTATTCAGTTTAAATTGATTCAGGGTAATAAAGTAAAAAAGCCAGATGTTAGGTAATCTCAGAACATCTGTTACTCGTCAGTACAAAAGGTGTTACGTTACACGCAATGTTACATTACACCTAACTTATAACATTTTATATATTAACAGTAAATATGTATATAACACTATGTCTAAAAAAAAATATTTTATGTGATTGCGTAGTTTGTATACGTAGGTGTATGTATGTAGAAGAAGCGAGAGTGGTGTGTGACGTGCCAAATGGATGTCCTTGGTTTCTGCCTACCGTCCTGGGTTACGAGCGTGAGTTATGTTGTATAAAAAATGTGATACATTTCTTTCCACTATAGACAAATCAAACATAAGACGTAGAGCACAACTCTATATTTTTACGTAATTTATTCAAAGTATAATACAATTTACAAGAAAGAGTTTTTTTTACATATTATAAGGTGGCAAACTAGCGAGCGGCCGCCTAAAATCGCTGAAATAGCGAAGTGACCGTTGCCCATAGACATAAGCAATAGCATATGCTATTACAACACATATGTGTTGCCTACCTTTAATCGACGGAGTAGAGGATGCACAGAAAGAAAATATTTTCCCTTTCCATGAATCCTCTCATCCGGAAAGTCCACTTCCACTTCCCATCCTTTCCTTATAAGAAAAACGATGGGAAGAGAAAGAGAACTAAATTAGGCCTCCGGGACGCACACTCATCAGACGAAACGCGGAATTGCTTCCACTTCACGGCTGTCTTCTGTGTGGTCGTGGTATTTCAACGGGCGAGCCGGGCCAATTCGTGCGAATATGTTAAAGCGGGCTCTACCACAGTAAATTGTCTTTGTACTAAACATAGTAGATGCAGAATACATAGATTTTTTTCTATATTCCCATTATGATAAATGTATGTTAAAATAAGAATAAGAAATATATTAGATCTTTTTATATAAAAGCCCTAAAAAGACAAAGAAGTACAACTTGCAACTGGCATATTTCCAAATGATATGCAAATTTATCCTAACACGTACTTAGGATGTGACAATGTTTCCTTGTCTCGCAATACGTACCATTTTAGTCTTAATATCACGGTCCGGGACATTCTGATCTAGATTCATTGCGACGCTAAATATGAATGCCCTGTGATACATAGAATGATTCATCACAGTGATAGCTATAATATACCACGGATTATGATGACAAACAATCCGTCATTATTTACTCTTCCCGCCTTATGGTATATCTTTGCGAACTTGGTTGTTATGAGTCAGATTTTCTCTTAAAAAACTTTTAAGCAAGCGTTTTTTCTTTTCCTCTGTTGTAATATATTGTGTCGTTGCCAGTGTCGTCAGAGGCTTTGGACCGGTCGAGGCTGGCGCGCGAGAGGCGGGAGGCGGAACAGCGCAAGCGGCTAGACGAGCTCCGTGCACACGCGGCAGCAGCTCAGGCGCAGCGCGAGAAACGAGACGAGGACCGTCGTCGACGACAAGCTGAGCAGCGCGCAAGAGATGACGACAGGAGGCAACAGGTCAGTATACAACCAACAACCAGTCTTCTTCACTGTGAGTGAAAAACATGTGTCACGGCATTCAAAATTCAGTCATATCGATTAACAAGCACCATAGAGTATTCTGCAGTTTTATCTGCCTCTCAGAGATATTCTGATGCACGGTAAAACAGTGTTAATTGGTGCAGACGAGATTTGGTAATGTTATAAGTACACTTATGGTTTATGAAGCCATATTTTCTTATTCTCGTGGGATTTCAGAATTAAGCCCATTCCGAAAGGCTCCTCGGATAAAATATTGTTTACAAGAGTGGCAGATGGTAATGACAAATAAAAAGCCTGCTTCGGCCCCTTAATTCCGTTTCGGAATTTTGGTCCTCCATCTATTTTAAATGGGAATATTTAACAAACTCCTGTCGCCTGCAAGAAGCACATAGTCCCGTGTTGCGAGGCAGATGACTCTCAAGTATGACTTTGCTCCGACAGGCCGAGCAGCGAGCGAGGGACAGCGACAGAAGGCTACAGGTTCGTACCTCAGCCCTCACCATCCCCACCACAAAAACCAAGAGCAGGACATATAGTCGACTATGTCATTTGAACTGTCCCCAAAACTTTTAACTATCAAAGGACTAGCCGTTCTATCAACTTGTCACTTCTATGTTGGTGAGTGAAATATTGTTTTGGTTTGAGCTAGGCAATGTGCGCGCATATGTCACCGTAATTAAAAAAACAACATGAGTTACAGCTATCGTATAATGCATGAAGATAAAAAAAAATTAGGAGTATGCTACTTGTATTTTGAGTCTGTGGTAACTTACATTTATTTTTATAGTTATCGTCCTGTTGTGAGCACTTTGGCACTATGAGCTATATGCTCACACTGTTATAGTCTAGGAGCTATTTTAATTATGCTATAGTGTAGGAGCTAGTGGAATATTTCTGTGCAATAACGACAAAGATCCGCAAGTCACGGACCTTGCTTTTGAAATTCCTGCCGCGCCTAAACTGCACGCTGCAATAATTTGCCGTTGGTTTATAGGTTATCTGGACAATCGTGTTTAATAGCATGAACCAAAATAACTATATTAATATGGACATTGTCTAACTAAAGTTAACAAATACATTGATTATGTAATTACGCATGTTTTTTTCAATTGTACTAAAAATGACAATCTCACGACTTTGCATTGTTTTCAATAATTTTGGAATGTTGTTCAAGAGTATGTCTTCGGTCAAATTTCTAACGTTAAGTATATTTTTTTTTATATCATAAGGTGGCAAATTAGCAAGCGGCCACCTGAAATCGCCGAAATAGCGAAGTGACCGTTGTACATAGACATACGCAATTGCATATGCGTTGCCTTTAATCGACGGAGGAGAGGATGCACAGAAAGAAAACATTCCCATGCATCCTCTCTTAAATTAGATTAGTCGATATTGAATCCCTTTGTTTTAACTTCAAACCCCTTGTTTATATGTTTTGTTTTTTATACATGCATCTTAATCCTCTATCTGTACTTTAATGAATTAAACATATAACTATAGTCTTACGTCTTTTGTATCTGCGGTTATCTTGTGAGCCAATTAACCGCACTGACGTCACATCCCACTTACTCCCGTCTACGATGTTAAGACAGGAATAGTAAATGTCTACTGCGTTTGTGCGTCTCACAATAGGTTTCCACTGTTGAAACACATGTTTGTAAACATGTCATCTAGCATTCTCTTTGAAATATACAAAGATAGAATGTGTTTTTTGTCGGTAACATCTGGACTCTGATCTACAAACGCTTTATTTCGGTTAATAGTTAAATTTTATTTTATTGTGTCCCTAAAAGGCATACTGGATCGAAAATGTCATTGTCGTTTTAATTTGTTTTTTATTATATTTTTTTACGCAACAAACAACAAATACTTTTTCATTGTAAATATACATAAGTAAATCGAGACCTTGAATATTTCACATAACATTTGTATCTTGTCTATACTAATATAAATGCGAATATTTAGATATATAGATGGATGGATGTTTGTCCGAACGTATCTCTAGAACGGCAGAACGAAACTCTAAAAAAATTGGCATACATATAGAACATAGACTAGAAGATCACAGGTTACTAATTATGTTTTCTTTCGATGCGCACGGAGTCGCGGGCGACAGCTAGTTTTCATAAAGTGGCGTACAATTTATTGCAACTCGTAGGTATAACGTTAAGAGGCGCATTTTCAAAAATTTCACTATCTGCTGACCGCTGTGGTGTGGCGAAGTGAAAGTTTCGACGCCGACGCCCGCACCTTTTAGATTGCTTTATTGTATAAGATTATAAGAACAATTATAAGATGTAGAACCACACGGAAAGTCTGTCGACGGTGTGGCATAGCATTAAGTAGTTTTGGAACACAAATTACAGCGTCGTCACTTGTTTCCTCAATTCTATGTGTAACTAGCCGTTGCCCTCGACTTTATCAGTGCAGTATTAAAAAAATAGCTTATAATATGCTCGCGTGCATTAGTTACCTTCATGTCCCGTCAAAATCGGTCCAGCCGTTCATGAGATTAACGAACGCGCCTATGCGGACACACAGAAAAATTACGTACAGACACACTAATTTTATTAATATGTATAGATACAGAAGAAGCACTTTTAAGAGCATCAAGCTATAGCTTGTTGTTCAAAGATTGCCAGTGTTGTAAGGTTCGTTTGGCCATCTGGCATCTCTCTTATAATCTCATATAACAGTTTATGGGAATATTAAAAGGTGCAAATCGTAGAACGATGAAACCATTTACAATAATACAACGTCAATAAGAGAAGCCTTTGACAGTTCGATACATTTAATATTTACTAACACAATCCCAACAATACATTGTTATGATTACAATTAGATTATAGTAAACGTTGTTGACATACTGTTAACTGTACAACATTATTGTTGTAGACTTTAACACTTTCAATGTCATTACAATTTACGGACAAAAGTGATGTACCAGGGAGAGTTGGTAGCACGTAAAGTGTTTTAAACTTTTTTCTAGACTTTCTTCTGCCTATCCAATTAGATCCTTACAATTTCCATATTTTTACGTCTGTTTGCAATAATCAAATTCAGGTTTTTGTCTTACACGATCGAATTTTCACATAAAAAATGATATATTTATATTTGTTAGAATTTGCAAAAATAAAAGTTTAACGGTAACTAAAATGTTGGGAGACGTAGACGATCAGATGAACCTCTCTATCTCAAGTATGCCCTTCAGAAACAAAGCAGTAATTCGAAAGAAACACGAGAAACGCCAAATTTCATTAAAAAAATTGGAATTTTCGAGATTAGACGAAAAGTGTGCTGTCTACTTTTTTACGCAGGTTGTACCGTGTACCTGCGCACGCGCAATTACGTAACTGACGTCCTTGCACGCTGATGTCACTATTGACACTCTCGTCAGTCGTCAGCTCGGCATTTGCATTACAATGCGGCGAATTCCACCACCGTATCGCATTGTACTGGTGCACTCACCGCCAATTTACAATTAATTAGTAAGTCTATTGTTGATGGTTCATATGTAGTTTAACTGAAGTAAGACAATGAATGGTCACTAAATGGCAGTTTAGTATGGGCGACTGTGAGGCTATATATATCGCTATTCCATTCATATCTTTGAAATTAGGCTATTTTCTTCTTAATCTATTTTAAGATTTATAATCTAATTATTTATCCTTGAATTGAGTTTTGTATATAATCCTTAGTGCAACCAAGTCTTGGGGTCTAGTACGAAAATTTAGAAATTCGAGAAAGTATTCATAGGCGTCACCGACAATTAATTACTTTTTTAATATTTGTATAGCAGAAATTGTAAAGTTCAACGATAAATCATATGTATTTTGACAAATTTTTTTGATGTTGCAAATACTTTCTCGCAAATTTTCGTGCTAGGTCTCCTGATTTGTACTTACGTGAAATATTGTTAAAAATCTACTTACCTAAAAGTATAAATACTGCATTTCCTAGTAAATATCAAATGGCGCAATGCGGAGAGAGATTGGCTACGCTCCCGCTTTGTAGCGAGCCCGGGAATCAGGAACGTAGGCAAAGTTTACGGGCATCGCAATCCTGGAATATTTATGAAAGTATTTTATTCCTAGTATTACGAAATCCAGGACCCAAAGTACGAATATCTTATTTAAGTTATGATATAAAATAACCCTTACTATGGTATTTGATACATGAAATAACGATGGGTTTTCGCTGACAAAATATTTGTTCAAAAGCTTATTGTTCCTCTTATTTTCTTTAAAATAATATATCAATATGGTTTTGTACAGGTGTTAGAGCAGAGAAAATAAGTAAAGATTGATAGAGATATAATTTAGAGAAAAAATATGAATGTTGAATTTCACGGCTGAGTTTTCAAAGCCAAAAGGCAATCATTCAAAATAAAATAATATAAAGTTATCTTGAGAACTATACGTATAACTCTATGTTAAACCAATATCTTTCTAGTCTAGAATACCATTGGATGCAGACTGACCTAAAAGTCTAGCTCGGATTTTTAGGCCGGCTTTCATGTGTAACACGGCTGGCTCGTTGCCAATATGTTCTGCAAATGAGCACGCTTTTATTGACATTTTTAATGAAATTCTTGAAATACTTTCTAAAGGAAATGGTATCCAATAAATGGACACGGTTTGAGAAAACACCAATGAAAATACTTTTGAATTCTGTATATCAAACAATATTCTAGATTTATAGAAGAAAATATTGATTACACAAACTTATTTATATTGATGAGAAAAGTTAGTGAAATCCATAAAATCTAATAAGTAATTTCTGCAACTTTTCACGAAAATTGGTAACGTAAGACAGGTCAGGGACTTGAATCATATTCACCTTAGATTAGTCACTTTCATAGTAATCATTAGACAAATCTTTTGGCTTCTCCATTAATAGTGGAACCGCACCTTAATATAATACAACATTCTCTCACAATCTCAAATATCGCATATTTGAGATGCCGTTGACAAGGCTTGCATAAACATTGACGTAATACCAAGTCTTGTGCACGTTACTTATGATGAATCGCGACGAATATTATAAGGTTGAAATTGCGCCTTATTGATCTATAAAATCGATTAAAATCTCTAATTTGATGGGCGATCAGAATGTAATAATGGAGAGAGTATCGTGTCCTACGGGAAGACAGGAGAAGTATAGGTTTTGTCTGATGGGTGAAGTTCAATCCCATTATCCTGTGTCCCTTTCTCTTCCCATCTCTTCTTTATAGCAATAAGTCAGGCAAAATATTTGCGACTCTTGTCTGAGTCTCACTTAATAGACGAAAAGTAGAAGATGGTTACACGCTTCGAAATGTCACCAACTTGTGTGTGTGTGATCGTCTTGTGTTTAACATATCCAAGTCATCTGCAGTCGTGTGAACACTAGACTCATATTAGATGATAATTGAAAGTAACATAGTTATGTAAGCCGGGTCACTCAGTACTCGTCTCGGACCTGACCTGATTATCTGTAACACGCGGCCATCAATTGACTTGGTCAATGAAACTTGTGTACGGTTGGTGTAGTGTGATAGGATGAAATATGGTCCTTGGATTGTCGTATAAAAATAGAAAGAAAAATTAATATAATATTGAACTATATATTTTGATTTTTAAATATGAAAATTCTCTAACTTTTCCCAAATTATTAGTAGTCCTCAGCACACGGAAATAAGTCGACAATACGGCGTACGGAAATACCTCAACGGTGGCGATGGCTTCGGGAATATTTTTAAAAGCAAGGAGTGGACGGATATAGCCCTTCCTTCAGGACCGGCTGCATTCCGATGCACTCGCCTAACACCGACTAGTTATAAAAATATTATCTTTTAGAATAATGTAATCAATATAAGAGATATGACCGATTAAAAAGCCATCGAGACGGTTTTACCTTGATCTTGTATATATGAATCAGTTTAGGTATTTTATTCATTATGTCGCGTAGTTTTTCTAGCGAAGAATCTGGCAAGGATTGAAGCATTCGGTTCATTGAATGACGGAACATATAATCTGATACTATTTTCAAGAGTTTCAAATTGTAAATTAAATTTGCAACTCAGGGCTAGTTGTTACCTATCCTCCCAAATGCTAGATATCTATGGAAGGAAATAATTGAAAGTCTACGATTATGAATTGAATCCCTTAGAAACCCTAGTCCAAGGCACAAAGTAGCTTTGAATACCTTCTTCACGAAAACCTTTGTATGCAGGTGGAAGAACGCAAGCGTGCGATATGGGAGGCGTCAGTGTCCCGTCGGGAGGCACTTCTCCAGAGAGAGAAGGAACGCACGGAACGCCTGGAACGGGCAAGAGCGGCGAGATCCACTCCCAGGCCTGCATTCGCCTTCGGTTCCTCGACACCACGACTGCTGGAGCCAGTTGATTCAGCTGGATTCTTCTGGGCCGCGCGCAGGTGAGATACGTTAAATATTGTACCGGGTCGAATTGGCCTTGTATATGTGAGACTCCAGGTCATATTGACCTGTTTATGTTTTACGCTAATAAATCTTGTTAATAATTATTATAAGTACCTATTAGGAAGCATTTTCACAATAGAATAATGTTTTAAAGCACATTTTGTATTTGAGAAGCTAAGTAGATTTTTTTATTTACAATTTGTTAATTAATTTTAATATATGTGCAATAGACGAAACAATAGAAAATACAATTTTTTAAAACATATTTTTTTATTTTTTTTATTCGCTTCGCTTGTTCTTAAAGTAATTATAGGTGTCGGTCATTAATTTATTTGTTTCTAAAAGATTTTCATAAGCCACGCGTCTTATAAATAATTAATGACAATTTTTACACTTTTGAACAATTAAACAATTTTTTTTTTATATCACAAGGTGGCAAACGAGCGAGCGGCCACATGAAATCGCTGAAATAGCGAAGTGACCGTTGCCCATAGACATACGCAATTGCATATGCGTTGCCTACCTTTAATCGACGGAGGAGAGGATGCACAGAAAGAAAATATTTTCCCTTTCCATGCATCCTCTCATCCGGAAAGTCCACTTCCGCTTCCTATCTTTTCCTTATAAGAAAAAGGGTGGGAAGGGAAAGAGGACTAAATTAGGCCTCCGGAACGCACACTCGTCAGACGAAACGTGGAATTGCTTCCACTTGACGCCTGCCTTCTGTGTAGTCGTGGTATTTCACCGGGCGAGCCGGGACAGAAGAAGATGTTAAAGCGGGCTCTACCTCTGTTAAAAATACTAATTACTTGGCTTATGGAAATCTTTTTTTTATGTGACTAGAAACAGTATGCTCATAAAAGGTGCGGGTTCATTCTTCAAGCCATTTGACAGCGAAGAATAATGTCGCCCCCCATATTTAGACACATTTTTACTGAGCACTAATTTTTTGTTTTTTTTTATTTCTCCAACCACCAGTACCAACCCACTCGATCAGATGAGCTTTTTTGAGTCGCTGTAAGCAATTTAAAGTTTTTTTTAATGGATTGTTTATTTTTTGATTGTAATTATTTAATTTGTCGTATTAACATTGTAATTTTAGTTTTTTTTAACAATTTTTTTTTATTTTTTAAAAGTTGTGTATTTACTAGAACGTCTGTGGTGCATCAAAATATTTTTTTTTATTAAATACTTCCCATTTAAAGGAACTGTTCTATGCATCCGCTCTAGTGTTTACGCAACTTTATCTTCAAGATTAGTAGTTTAGTAGATTTGAGTTGATTAGTTTTGCTTTGTGTATTGAAGGATGTGCATGAGTTTGAATGACGCAAGTAATTAGTAGCTACGTAGTTACGTAGAGTATTGCATGCAACTGGTATTTAAATATTTTGTACCTTTATCTAAAATGTTTTGTCTGTATATTCTATGTTGAATAGTTTATCATTAACACGTCAGCTGCCAGAATATTTTTTCGAAAAACGAAATTTTTTTTTAAATTTAGTTTTGTCCAAAACCATTTGATACCACCTAAAAATATAGTAATACCTTATTTACATTGCTCATATACTTATTATTTACATATGAATGGAAGTATGGCTTGTCGGACGCAGTCCGACAAGGCCTGATTGAAACATTAGCTTGTCGGACGTATAGTCCGAGATGGCAGCTAACGTGTTAAATTACTAAAATACGTATAACACTAGGTTTTACCCGCGACTACGTCGGCGCAGAATTGAAACTTGTTAGCTTATGTGTTCTTCCAGATTATGTGCCAAATTTCACCGAGATCCTTTTAGGCTTTCTGGAGATACCTTCTGTCATTCATACATACATACAAACATTCCCATTTATAATATTAGTAAGATCTACTAAGCATTAAATTTTGATGAAAATTCAGTGTTCCATTTTTAAAACTTTTCCCTCTGTTTCCTCTGTTTTAAAATGCATTTTGGGTCTCATTTTTTATGTCGGGTTAACTTAAAACTTAGTAGATTACACGCGATTAGCTACTAGGTGACGATTCACGTCATTTGGTGTTTTCTATTTATAGAATTGACGTATGATTGTTAACTTTTTGTTACATTAGTCGTGTGTTCTATTACGGAAACGTACTATACACCGATGAACGTCATGTCATAAAATTTAACTTGATTTATTATTGGAATGTAATTCTTATCAACAAACGTTAAGAACTAAATTGTTTTGCAAGGCTTAACGGTTTGATTCCATTGCAATGTTCGTACCGTTTCATATCCGAATCTGTAGTCTTAGTCACGACCACAGACTAACTAAATATCAGAGATTGTATATACGAATCAGCTGATTAATAAATCATCAAAATATCGATGTGACGTTTGCTAGTTGATTGAACTTGTTTTTGTTACTCAAACTATCTACTATCATCTTGTTAGCTACAAGATTTGTATAAACTTTCATTTCTTTTTTTTCCTTATTCGAATGTTTTAAAGTTCGCTCTAAATATAACTACACTGTGCCATGGCTTGCAGGACATTGCAAACTATAGTCCGTGAATACTCAATTACGACGCGATCGCTGCGACCCAAATAGCTCCTCCAGCCGAGAAATGCAAGCTGAGCTGCTTTTGTATATAAATAGCATAATCAATCTAGATATATAGTAAATTTCAGACATTCCTGTTTGTAAATAAATAATATTTTCATCAAGAACCGTTAAACTGTTTCGGGGATACTTTCTAACAAACATCCGTCCATTTGAACGTTGTAAATTTACTAATTTTTCTAGTACCATTCCAACTAAGGCTTGTATTTTTATACATGGTTTACGACAATAGTCGAATGGCGGGTTTCGAACCCCCGACCTCATCGGAAATCCGTACCCTTAACCATTAGGCTATTGGCGCTTTAATATTAGTAAGATAGTTGAATTTTTCGATTTGTTTCTTTTCCAAAAAAAAATAGCTTTGAAAAAGGAAAAAGTAGCTGAAAGTGTCTTAGTTTATTTACTTTTAAAAAACTTATACAATACACAAATTGGTCTTAACACTATTTGCTATGTCCAAAGTACCTATTTGCCGCGACAAAATGGCTGCGTAAGAAAGATGAATACATTGCGTTGCAAAAATATAATTTTGTTATACGATAACGTAATACCTGTTGTTGACTTATCTCTTGTATATTGCTTTTTATCATAAGTTTCTGGAAGCCGATTAGATATAAAAGTAATAATCGATGCTCAGACGCGGAATATTTTTTGGCACGGAAGCGATTCTTAACAAAGGGATCTCATTAATTTATGATAACTTGATATCTTTCCGCCTACAGATACGATTTACTCTATCATTTTAATTATAGCTGATTTTAAAAAAAATATGACGTTTTTTAAAAGTATAATATAACATAGAGTAGCTACCACTGCAGAGTGGATAATAGGCATGAATAATTTGGCACGCGTGAATAATTATGGTCCGTTGCCGCAATGCAGTGTCGCAGTTAAGCTCTCAAGTCTATTCTAAATTAACTGCACTGGGAGTGTAGTGTTAGATTTATAGATATATCGATATGTAATCTATAAAACTAAAATTTTATGAATTAAGACTAAAACTTCGTAATGTTCAAGCCACTAGTTCTGTCCAAAGACTCGATGACGTAATCTTCCTTCCGATATTACACCAGCGAGCATTGTCTCTGAGAGACAATGCCCACAAATCACCGGTTATGGGTGTATACCTCCGTTAACTATAGTGATTTTGGAGATCAAATAGAAGTATTATCCTTATCCTGTCTAAGAAATCTTTTTCGCTAAAACAATTTATATTTAAAAGTATATAGTTTTGGGCATTATTGTTTGAACCTATACAATTTTTGCATGGATCTTAAACTACATTCTGCTTTGTAAATTCTATCTTTAAACTTTTACCTTATATGCCTGCCTATTATAGGTTTTAATAACAAATATCTGCGTTATATTTTTTATTTGGACATATCTGAACTAATTTTGTGTGCAACCAATATTTAATGCACATACAATATCTACTTTAATCATCTTTTATTCTCACATAATATTTGTGTTCGGGAATGAAAACTAACCCTTACGACATGTGTTCTGAATACAAATTAGTAATATAATCGCTTGACGTTTCAGGGCGGCATCAACGACGAATGTGATGTTCGCGTCTGCGCCGCTCACGAGACGAGCGTCGGCGTTACACCTCGACACCTCAGATACAGACAATAAAGGTACAGTGAAAGAATTAAAATTGTTTCCCACTTGAATGCAATAGTTTAGTTTCTGGCTCAGTTTCATCATAAGCATCAAAAGATATTTTATAATACAAAAATTGGAAAGAAATCGTCTGTATAGTTTTTTACCTTCGGCCTAATACAAGCATACTTATTCTTTGGTCAACTTTAAGATCGACCTAAATAAGTTCACCTTTAGGTAAAGGTGTAAACATTTTCCAATCCATTTGTAGAGGTGAGATCTTTATCCATAACGAAAGAGGAAAGATAAAATTAGCTAACTTTGAATGGATATGGATATCTGTATCCATATTAATTCCGTACCCACATGTGGATATACACAAAAACAGACTATTTGTCAAGAAATAATAGCTAAAGATTTTCTCTTTTGTGTAAGAAAGGTCATTGCTAACTACGCCTTTACTGTCTTATATATAACGTTTGCTTGTTTTCACCTATTGAGCCATTTTCGATCTTATTTATATGGGGTAAGGTTACTTTTAGCTTATGTCAGTTGCAGTCTTCAGCTGGTTTCTCTAGTCTAAGTAGTTTCTCATTGCCATTTATTGTATTATACTTGAAATACTACGCTTTATGCTTCTTGATACTTTAAAGATTGGATTATGTCTTGAATTTAATTGAATAGTGTAAAATTGAATCTTTACCCATATTCTTGAATCCCTTGATAATTTAAATCAAGGGAGAGAAAATCTTTTATAATAATTATGAATAAAGTTTTTATGTCGATTAGTTTGACATTTTATTGTTAAAATTATTTGACTAGCATGGTTAAATGTGAAAAAATTAAATACCTTAATTTTTTTTGAACACTTGTTTTTGATTTAACACTTGTTTTACACTTTGTTTGATTTTCGAAAATAAATTTGGAATAAAAATGTTTGTATTTTACCGATTTTATAACTAATTTCACTGAATTGTCAAATTAATCGACATAAAACGTACAAAGTAACAGTAAAAATGGATTTTATTTAATTTTTTTTTTTGTAATCTGTTACCTGCTGCTAAGGAATCATGTTCACAAGTTACTGTAAGTAAACATTTTTATAAAAGTAGACACTATCCAAACACACTAAACACACATTCAAAAAATTATATTATGACCCTGTCATTCTTTTTAATAACAATAAGATAACAGTAAATTGTATACGTAATTTATTTAGTTTAAAGAAAAAGGTAAAGCAAAAGGTAAAGGTAGGCAACGCATATGCAATTGCGTATGTCTATAGCCAACGGTCACTTCGCTATTTCAGCGATTTCAGGTGTTCGCTCGCTCGTTTGCCACCTTGCGATATTAAAAAAAAATACTAACCAATTTTTAAGTAAAAAAAAATTTAGGTCAAACTAAGAAAATATAATAGATAAAATTTGCAACAAGAATATGTCTCAAGTGACTTTGAAATTTTCCATTAAATATGTGTGAACGTACAAAATTTGTATATGCAAATTAGATGATTTAATTTACTAAGCCAGTCTAGAACCATCTGTTTGAATGATACGTCATAAAGTCAACACAACGAATGCCTGCTAATATCTTGAATGTACGGAAAATGTTGGCTCTTTGGCTATAATCTCTACACTGGCCTTGCATTGGATTATTTTAAATCAATTGATAAGCGAATATAACTCTTAATGCAACTACTTAAGACACATTCATATTTATAAACCAGTGAAGAAAACTAAGCCGATGTAAAAGGTGTAAATTCGAATGCAAAGGAAAATAGTCTTTGTTTATATTGAAATAAGAGTATTTGTATGTTTTTGTAATTTGAAAGGATTCAATTATGTCATTTGAAATACAAGCTGTTGTATACAATGTCTTATGTAATACTGGACAATTGTAAAAAAAAATATTACATATAGACCAAAAAGGTTATCTTAACCAGTGGTCATAAGTCAAACTAAATTATGACAGCACACTAGCGCCCCTCTGTCAACGACAAAAAATGACACAATACTGTCATATAATTTATTTAATTTTCTATATCAAAGTAGGTTTTATATATATCCTGAAAAATTCAACCGCGATAGCAGCGCCTCTTACCAGTTTAGATATCCTTGTTTGACTGTAGACTTCGTTCACAAGTGTATGGATTGTGTGAATGATAATTTGTGTATGAAGGGTTTGAATTCGGAAACTTACAGCTGATAGAGATAAGGATAGGACGGGATAGAAACGGATATAAATAGACCTTAATCTAGGTCATTCAAATGTTGATTTCTACAGCTGAAATACCAGTATAAAACATGAGTATCCTAAAGGGAATTTCGGGTATAACAATATATTTTTGTATAATGGGTGCGGTAGAGAAAGCCGACGGTAAATAAGGTGGTAGGAAGGATTAGTACACATTGCAACCGGTATCCGCAGACGAACCCGACCGCCAGCCGACAGTAGTATGGTCATCGGTCGCCCGGCGGCGCACCGACCTTGTGCCCACGCTGCCGGCCCCGCGCGCGCCAGGTAGGGCCTACTCCATGACGCGTCTGGACAAGCTGCCCCGACTGACGCCCACATCGTCGCCTTCCATGCACCACCTCAACCGTACCCGTGAGTACTTTGCAGGTATCGCAGGGCGCTTGGGTTTGCTGTCGAGCTACTGCATAACATGGTCAATAACCTCCGGCTCTGCAGTCGGTTAGTGCTCAGTAACGCTTTATAATCTTGGACTTTTCAATGTGCTAAGTCATCTGTAACATCCCAGTTTTATTATATCAATTGTCATGTAGAACATGACAGTTGGGTTATACCAATTGTCATGCATAATATGACAGTTGAGTAATACAAAGTGTAAAATATTTAATGATATTGTCATGTAAATTTTAATAAATATTGATGTATATTTTGAGTCCCATATTTTGGTTGGTTTAAGCTTACTTTAATAATTTGTTAAGTTTACTGTACAAATGTTTTAATACATTTGAGATTTAAAGCATTGTTTCTTGTAATTTATTTGGTAATGGATTAGTTCGCATTACAAGTTGAAAATTTTTATTTGATATACTATTTGAAGTATGACAAATGAGTTATCAGGATTACTTGATATATAAATTATGTAATTTTCTAATAGTTTTAAAGTTTGAACAGTGTGTGAGCTCAGCTTTGCTTTCATCTTAAACTATGTAACTCTAAATTAAACAAATTCGAAGGAAGTATTTCTCCTTTATTACGTTTTATGTTAGGATGCTAATTTTGCACAGATTTTTGAGTGAATTAGGTTTATTGCACAGAAGTGTGGTTTGTTAGTTATATGTATTTCGTGTGTTTTCATAAAATGGACATCAAATATGTTGAGGGCTTTATTACTAAGGAATCTATGGACAGCTTTCTTGAGGTGCAAGGAAGTATTTTCTGGTACATTTTCTTACTACTTTAATGGTTTAAAAAGAAATATGCAAACTATTAAACTCTTTCTAGTAATTATATAGCTTTGTATATTTCTCTTTAAATTTTCTTCCATCGCTTGTGCAGTTGACTTACTCAAGTCGAAAGGTGAGTGGAAATACTAATAATAATTTTAAAAAATCAGTCGGCACTTTTCATGTGACTAAATAATATTCTTCCTTTTTTTAAAAGACATTCATGCAATTTTATACGACATATAATTTCTTCATTTAAAAACCGCATCTGCTTTTTTTATATGGGTTTTCATGGATATTATTTCGCGCCATTACGCTTTTACGCCTCTTTTCACTTGTTTTATGTTTGTTTATTACTTTAAGCACATTTAAATCAATATTTCATAGAACACACATTGTTAAATAAACATTGTAAAAATAATTACTTGGGTCAAAATAAATAGTTATAATTCAATGGCATTAAACATGGTCTGCAGGTAAGTAATCATCAATATATCCTTAATAAAGTGGATACGAAAAGATACAATGGGATACTACTGGGATGTAATACGAGTGGGATACAAGTGAGATATAAGACTTTATAGAAGGATACAAGTGGGATACAGTAGGATACAAGTGGGATACATGGCATTAGAGTAGGATACAAGGGTGGCTGTACACAGAGACGCGGTCCGGGGAGACGACGCCCGGGTCGCGGCCCGGCAGCGCGCTGTCCAATGCGGGCGTGGTGCGGCGCGCCGCCTCCGCGCCCCGCAAGCCGCGCCCCGCCTCCATCGCCGGCACCGGCGTCAACACGCCCAGAGGTACGCGCATACTAACTCTCAGCACATCTACAAACATATATTGTCATCTCTGTTTTTCGAAAAGATAGAAAGGGATGACTATATGTTTCTTGTTTATGTGTTTCGGTATCGGATACTCATAGTTACAAAGTTGATTAAGTTTATTAAGTCCTAGTTTGACGTACTTATATTATGTTCATATTTTTTGTATGTCTGTTTATAACATATATAAAGGGTCGTGCACATTATGAATACACATTTTACATTTGCTTTAAACGTTGTCGCTGTACGCGCTTTGCTTTTTGTATATAATTTTAATTAGTGTAAGTAATTTTAAATTAATATAAATTAAAAATTGTTAAGAGATATTAATACCAAATTAACAATATGTTTTTAGAGTAATACAATAGGAGCTGATCTAGGTAACGAGCAAGTAGGCATACATTTTTGATTAAAAAATCCTAAATCTATACCTACTCCACAGGGTTCGTTATATTTCCAGGCGGTGGTGACACAGGTGCGAACAGTATCGCGACGACGCCGTCAGTGTCGCGCGACGCGACTACAGTAGCGGGAGGCGACGCGCCACGTAGACCGCCCACAGCGCGCAAGCCACGCCCACTGTCACTGCACGCCTCGCCCCGACCTGGTGAGATGACTTCTCATAGCCTGGTGATGGGCTGTTCTAGCCAATATACATTGTGCTTGTTTTATACCATATAGGTAATTAGGGTTCCGTAGCTCAAAAGGAAAAGGAACCATTATAGAATCACTTTGTTGTCCGTCCGTAAAGAAAAGGTCCGTAAAGACCCTTTTTTGGTATTAAAAACTCTTTTGTTCAAAGTCAAGGTTAAGAATTATAGATTGAAAAAGTGACTACTGCATTATGAAATGCGAAATATATTTTGTTAAATTACATATTCCAAAACTACGATAAAATGGTTTTTATAAATCCTTTAGGGTTTTTTTCTTTTGTCGTGTTTGAACATCGCAGTACCTTCCATTGTTTCGTCCTATATGTAAAGCTTTACATCTAGCTTGGGCAAGTTACAGTTAAGTTGTAGGCCGGAAGTTACTGCTTTGTTCTTCAGTTTCAGTGCAGTTAAGTTACAGTTGTACTTGGTCAACAGCGCCCCCCACCACCCCAGGGGAGGGCAAACCGCCGCTGCATAGGAAACCAAAGCCTGCCAAAGAATATGAAAAGGTAATCTTGCATATTGTATACTAGCTGTCTATTACTTACGCGTTATTTCAAAATATATTAGTAGTCTATGTTTTCTTGCAGACTATGTTCTACATCTGTGCAAAATTTCATCAAGAGCCATGCAGCTGATGTGAAGATATAAGTTCAAACAAACATCCATCCATCTAAACATTCGCCTTTATAATTTTAGATGTTTAAAGTTTTGTCTATGATTTATGTTTTAATTATATCCTTCCCACTTTTATTTTGACTTTTATATCATTGTATATTTAAAGAATTCTAATTTCAAGGTCAAATTGTAATCATAAATTGCCTATTTTAGTATATGGTTTTCAAAGTTAGTTAATTTTTAATTCTGATTATTTGCAGCGCGGCAAGTCTCAGTCGCCGGGTCGTGCGCTGTCGCCCACACCGCCGCGACACATCGACACTATGGACAAGGTATAACCATTATAGCCAACTAGCTGTTGCCCGCGACTACGTCCGCGAGGAAAAATCTTAATTATTTCTGGAATAAATAAAAAAATAAAAATAACAAGCCTATGTGTTCTTCCAGACTATGTTCTAGGTCTATGCCAATTTTTATCGAGATCCATGCAGCCGTTTTGGAGATAGCTTCTAACAATTATCCGTTTATATATGTATTTTTTTGTGATATAAAAGTCTATGTATGATCTTATATAGCCTAACCAAGAATATGAAAATCCTGACCCCGTCTTAATTCCATCGGTTTCTTTATTACGTTACTAACGTGCATAAATTAGTTACATTTTTAAATGAGGTTTATTATATTTCATGTCAGACTATAGTATTAGGAAGAAAATCCGATACAATGCTGGTGTACTGGCACAGCACTAGCCTTACTAAAATGTCGATGTTTGTATCCCCTCACTAATCATTCTGACACTTGACTTTGTAACGAAAGCATGTCATACGCGCCAAATGATTCTGATGAATAATGTGTAAAAGTACATATTTATATTGTTGTACTCCAGAGCGTGAGTTCTGACAAGCGTCAGGTGAGCGCCATAGAGGTGACGCAGAAGCTGGAAGCTCTCCAGATTGGTGACGTCATCACCACACAACTAGACGATAAGGTTTGATCTATTTAAATGTGTCTTTCGACAATTGAAAACGTACTGGTTTTATTACTGTGAAATATAAATGCTTAACAGAGAAAAGTAGCTTACCGAATTCAATGTACGCTGTTTCTTAACTTTCGAAAGTTCATATTTGCGTGTCTTAATCTTAAATTAAAAAAAAAACAACCAAATACCTTTTACGATTCACTTTTTTCAGTATCAGACTGTACATTTTGTCTTATTTGATATTTCAGGTAAACGAAAACAAAGAACATGTAGAAAGTAAGCAGGAATCGAAGTCAGAACAAATTGTAGATGAAAATAAAGAAGATAAACCTAGAGAAGTACAGAAGCACGTCGAGAAGGAAGAGCAACGTGAGAAGGAGCCGTCGCAAGAGAGAAGAGAGGAGAAGAAGGAGCCATCGCAAGAAAGAAAAGAAGAGAAGAAGGAGCCGTCGCAGGAAAGGAGGGAAGAGAAGAAGGAACCATCTCAAGAGAAGACGGAAGAGAATGAAATGACAGGTAAACATAAATTATATTATTATTGTAATTAAATAAAAAAATAGCTATTTAAGGTTTAATTTCCCACTAAGCTCTTTTTTTCACTTACTTATTTTTATATAAATGTGGCAATGTTCTTGTGGCCAGTATTAACTCTTTGTATTCAAACTCCTTGCCTACCAAAGAGTTTCAATATGTTAGACTTTACTAAACAACGTGATATGCTTCCTACCTTTTGCATATGATAGCGGTCGTCGGCAATTTTGTGAAGATAGTAAAAAATAATTAGCCTATAATATTCCTGTGGGCGTCCAGCCGTTCCTAAGATTATCGGAACAAACACGATCTTGCAGACAGACAGACAAGAATATTAATATATATATATATATATATATATATATATATATTTGATATTTTTCATACTTTATACAGGCAATTTGATTTTATTGATTGTGTAACAGATGAAATATAAATAATGATATGAGTTGTGTTCGCAGCATCAATGATGGCGCGTCGCATCACGACGGAGGAGGAGGCGAAGGCGGCGCTGGCGGAGCGCAGGAGGCGCGCACGTGAGGAGCTCGAGCGACAGGCTGAGCTGGAGAGGCAGCGGTGAGCTTCCACCACCACCACCACCACCACCTACAGCTTACCCCTATGGATGGCTATACATGTCATCATATGGTCATCTGACCACATATGTATTTTCTATATATATTACCCGCGACTCCGTCCGCAGGCACTTGAAGGGTCAATAACCACAAACCAAATAGAAGCCACGATTGTCTTCTTTTTGGACCAAAAAAAAACCATATCGCTTATTACACACATTCTCATTGAAATTCAGTTAAAATATGTTTTTTTATTATTGTTTAATTATTATTATATATTATTATTATTGAAAAATGCCAAAATCTAGATAAAATAATATGAAATAAGATTTCCAAAGAATAAATCTCTATTGATTACCTTTTATTTGTTTGTGTAAGTCTGCAACGTGAGGCAGAAGAAGAAGCGGAAAGGCAGAGACAAGAAGAGGAGAGACAGAGGCGGGAGGAGGAGGAGGCGCGCGAGCTGGCCGCGCTGCAGCGCCGCGTCGAGGAGGAGAAGCTGCGGAAAGCTATCGAAGTGAGATTTATTACTCATTACTCTTTGTTATAATAGTTCAAATTGATGTTCAATAACAGTGGTAGAGCCAGCTTTAACATCTTCGTCCGAATTGTCCCGGCTCGCCCGGTGAAATACCACGACCACACAGAAGACACGCCTCAAGCGGAAGCTATTCCGCGTACAGTCTGATGAGTGTGCGTCCCGGAGGCCTAATTTAGTCTTCTTTCCCTTCCCACCCTTTTTCTTATAAGGAAAGGATGGGAAGTAGAAGTGGACCATCCGGATGAAAGGATGCATGGAAAGGGAAAATATTTTCTTTCTGTGCATCCTCTCCTCCGTCGATTAAAGGTAGGCAACGCATATGCAATTGAGTATGTCTATGGGCAACGGTCACTTCGCTATTTCAGCGATTTCAAGTGACCGCTCGCTCGTTTGCCATCTTATAATATAATTTTTTTATTAGATATTTGTACTTGAGTGGACATTTTGATGGTTATATTAGTTAGATGATAAGTACATTGGTTTATACACAATTATTTCCCAATATTAATTTATTATTTACAGTAAGTTTCTTAGCATTAATTTTACTTTTGAGTATCTTATATATAAAATTCTCGTGTTGGAACGGCTTGACCGTTTTTATGAAATTTTATATACAAATACAGTAGGTCTGAGAATGGGCTACTATTCATTATTTTTTTATCTCGTGTGGACGGAGTTGTGTGCGACAGCTAGTATCATATAGAATAATTGATATTTAATATTTCACTTGGTTTTTAGGCGCAACAGGAGCTGGAGCGTCAAGAGGCGGAGAAGAAGGTTCGTGCGGAGGCGGAGCGTGTGGCTCGTCTGAAGGAGGAGGAGGAGAAACGTCGCGCCGCCAACGAGGCTGAGCGGCTGCGGCGTGAGGAAGCTGAACGTGAGGAGAAGGAGCGCCTCGCGAGGAAGCAGCGTGTTGAGGCCATCATGGCACGCACCAGGCTTCGGAAGGTGCGTATGTAACATATTGTGAGTTTCTAAAATCTAAATCCCCGTTGGATAATAATATATTTCATACAGATTTTGGTTTCAGAAACCTACGGTAACACACATATGATAGTTTTAGAATACGAATTCAATGGATATGAGAAATTAATTTTAAGCAATTTACTGGATGAAAATTAAAAAAAAATATAAAATTATGAAAGTTAAATTGTTTAGATAGCTTTTTTATAATATCTTATTTCAATTTAATTCGACTTAATATACGTTAAGTATCAATCATTTTTAGGTTTAAAAAAGCGCTAACTAACGTTATAAAAAACTGACACAAATACAAATGTCATTGACAGATTGATTAACTATGGTGTAAATAATCAATATTACAGCAAGCTGAAGAAGAGAAAAAACAACAGGAGAATAAAGCACAACCCACACAAGTCGCGAGCAACGAAACCCAAGGAGAACAAACAAACACACAGACCAGCGAAGTCACACAAGTCATCTCGCAAGTCACACAATCCAGTGAAGTCGTCCAGTCGAGTGATACCCAAAGTGCAATGTTACAGGACAGTGTCACTGAAAGCAAGCCAGTTGTACTAGAAACGGAACAAACCTCACAAGTTCCTGATGTAATTATGCAGCAGAGTAAGTATTTATATACATAATTTTATATAACAACTGCCTAGAGAACGGTAAATAAAGAAAAGTATATTTATGTATATATCATATAGTTAACTAGCTTTCGCCCGCGACGTCTGCGCGGAATAAAAAGATCTAAATAAGTATGTTCTACATCAGTGCGAAATTTCCTCAAGATACGTTGAGTCGTTTCAGAGATACCTTCTAATAAACATCCAAACATTCGTATTTATAATATTAGTAAGATATCGTTAAGAGGAAAATAATTGCCTTTTATTTACTATAGATGTCAGCATAAGCAAGACTGACAGTGGCAAATAATTTGTATGAAAAAAATCTTTATTTTATAAACAAAGTATAAAGACTTACGATAGAGTGAGAGCCCTTTAGTGGGGACGCTTAGTGAGCTGTTAATGATGAAATAAAATGTAAATGAATTATAATTTTACATATGAATACCAGGTGGCAGCAGTGAAGGTGGTCACGCGCACGTGAACATCAGCGTGCCGCCCCCGGAGCACGAGCAGCGCAGCACGGAGCAGCACGTGCCCGTGGCGCAGGGTGTCTCCGTGCACGTGCCCGCTGACAACGGCAACACTGTCTACACGCACGATCTACTGCAGCTGGCATCTACTCAGGTATACTTTTTTTCACATATCTTACCGGCCAAAGGACATTGGCATTGTGTAGTGCTTCCCCCTCTTCGCTACACATAAAATTGTGTACTGCGCAGTGGTTCATAAGAATTTTAAAAGCCGCCAAGATATCGGAATACTACTATACACACATTTATCAAAAAAAGCGAGGAATTACTCGTTCACGCCTGTCGATTTGTTTTGTTTCTCCATATCACAACTCTATATATTAAATTAACTTTGCAGATATTAAAAATGGTTGTAAATGTTTGGTCCTTTGAGCCGGATATTTATTTAATAGGAACCACTAATGATTATTAACTGATAATTGTACTTGCAGCAAGATAGCTCGAAGTCAGAAAGCGAGATAGAACAAGCCGCGCCCGTCAACAACGGCAACGTCACTGCCGACCTGCTGGGACTGTCCGACACAACTGATGTGAGTCATATATCCAAATATTGTATATAGCAGAAACTCTGAAAGAGAAAAAATAAATGTACAATCGGGTAATCTAGCGGTGTTACACCTTAAAAGCTACAAATGTCACTTTTAAATTTGTATGCACGAATAAAATTTGGTCAGTGGTACACAACTAATTTATATTATTCCGTCGTTTTCACAACTCATAAGTGCCTAATTGTTTGCATGAATAGGCAGAGTTTGTTGCAAGGTTCAACGCATTTTTTCTATAAGTGGAACACCATGGATTTCCGCGACTGTACCTACTGTTAATTACAGGCACAGTGAATGTTTGCAATATTAAGTTTTAAATGCTTCAAAATACAATGTTATTGCTTTGTTTCCTCTTATTACCGTTATTATTTTAGTTATAGTAATAACCGATGGCTAATTTTGATCCTAATTTATTTGTTTTTTTGTTTATAGAACAAGGACAGCTCTGAAACGCAGTCGACGACCGTAACTACCAAACAGAACGATAACACGCCGACATTACCTTCCAACAACGGCAACAACATTGGCCACATATCGGCCAACTTCATACAGAACGAGCGCACGTTGGCCGAACACGACCAACACGCCCAACAAGTTGGACAAATCAAGTTGGCCGATATGCCCAAGCTGTTGGACGACGACTTCACCACGCACAACGGCCACAGCGCGACGCACGGCCACCCGCTAACGTTGCAAAATGCAATCTAATCCAAGCGAAATAAGGTTGAATATTGAATGGTTTTCATAGCGTATATATTGGCTGGACGAGTCGGAGTCGAAGCGATAATGAACTCAATGCTATAAGGGAGAAGGTCGAATTTTGTATAATATTGCTCTATTAATTGTTTTTTTTCTTATATTGACAATGAATTCTAAATTAATGATTCTGAAATTGACATTTTTCGTTTTGAATTATTTGCTAAAAATTGGCCACTAGTTTTTTGAATTTGAAATTACTAGTTTTTTCATAGTTTTCTAAATTGATTTAATTATATCTCTATACTTTTAACTAGGAATAAATCAAAGAGAAAGAGAATAAAGTGGGAATAGGGAAGTACCGATTTACCGTAATGTAAAATGGTTGTGTGTGGTTGTTTTTTTTTGTTGCATATTTATTTTGTATATACCACGACCCAACAGCCAATATGTATGCATTGGGAACGGAAATGCCTTTGCGGGATAGTGCTTTCTCTTTCACACAAAGGTCGCATACAGTATGAGTGAACGAGAAGGAAGATTTCACTTGTTTTTGAATGAAAGCGAATGCAAATGTCAACGCATTGTGCGGGTTTTTAATGTAATAATTATGTAATTAATCGATTAATGCATTTATTCACGATTCTAAGACGAAACGTGTGCTTTGCGCAGTCATAATATCATCGTAAACTGAACTGTAGACGAAAAAAAAATATTTTTGTAGCTAAATTTGGGAATTAATAGACAAGGTTTTATAAACAAAAATTAATAGCCTAAACTAAGCCTTATTAGAGCTAAATTAAATATTTTATAGAATTATAATTTAAAAAAAAATACTGATAATTTTTCATTTTTGCATAATAACATCCAACTGTCAAATATTTTGTCTTTTATAGATATTGCGTTCTTTAATTGTGTACACATATTGTCATTTCCCACGTTCTCAATGAATTAAACATGTTTCAGGACAGTGGGAACATACAAAATGAATGTAATGGTCCTTCTAGCCGGATACTTTAATATATTCAGCTATATATCATTGCTTATTCATATATTTATTTAGGCATAATTTTTTGTCTATGATACTTTGTCTATGGTCTATTCGGATTTAAACTAACGACTTTTCTTCTTTGATTAATCATAACTAGGTTGTGTATATACGACTGCGCTACATTTAAATTGTAAGTTTTATTTATTGTGATGTTTTTATTATAAATAAACCGGCTTTATCGCTTCACTGAAATCAAAGATGGCTGTAACGTGAAAGCGACTTATGGGAAGTCTGATGAGTGCGAGCGAGAGGTATATATATTCGCCGTTGAACTGGATTTTGAAATATTTAATTCCGAAACATATCTGTAATAAAATTAAATCGTAATTTCAAACTCATGATAACATTCTGAGATACTTTGGTAATAAATTCTTTACGAATTTTAAATAACATTTTAATAAAAATTTATCATTTTTTCGTTAATAAATATTGCATTATTAATAATAACAATTTATTTGTTAATTAATTTTTATATAAAACATCTTTATTTTTGGATTTTACAGTATAATTATTACATCGCTACCAAAACTAATAAATAATAATTTCCTAAATAAATATGCCTTAGATTGTTCTTTTAGATTCGACTGTTAATAATTAAAAAAAGTAATTGAAAATTATAATAAATAATAGCCTTTACTTAGGGGGCTAGACAAAATGCATTCGCTAAGAAGGGATTCCATAACGAACTCGAAAATGTATAGAACCGTTTTTCTATAAGTCACGTGTCGCGTTAATACAATCTGTAAGTTCGTTATGGAATCGCTTCGTGGCGAAAGCTATTTGTCTAATCCCGCTGATGCTTTTAAATTTTCTAAAAATATCAATGCATCAAAATATACATGTATTTTAAATTGGGAATGAATTTTAATTGGGTTTCGATGCTTTAGTCATGTTGTCCCTTTTGTTCACTTTGGACGAGACAGAGACAGTATGTGAATCGTGTGACGAAACCCATAGACCCGGCTATGGAACGTTATTGCTTAAATCAATAATAATTATTAATAAAATTTAATTGTAAGTTATTTAAAACGACATGCATAAACAATTTTTGTAATATAAGTAGTTAGCTTTGAAAAAAATTATATAATCTATTCTATTTTCCTTTTTTTTTTGTAATAATGGAAATTTTTGCCTCCTTTTAGTATTCCGGATAGTGTTTTGTGATTTTTTTTCTTTTTTTTTTTAAATGTATTTAAGAATTTCGTATATCAAAACATGCTTTGGCATCTTCCTGTATCTGATTGTGCTTTGAGTTTTTAAAAGTTTCACTTAAATTCAACTAGATGGCGTTATTATTTGACAGTTTTGTATGAATTTAAAAAATTTATTTCTTGTATAAATTGATCAAGTTTTTTTTTAGTAAAATTATTTTCAAAATGGCGCCATTTTTGACAGTTGTGGCTGTATTTATATTTTGCAGCAAAATTGTATTTCTTTTTTATAATTTTTAATGAACACTAGAAAAATACCAGAGATATCTGTATTCCATTTTTTAGTTTTGTCTTGCGATAGTTTTTTTTTTAATAAACAATTGAACCGTCCGATTTTAGTGCGATTTTCGGACAATATATTTATATTCCTAAATTGCTGTAACTAGTGAGTCTTCATTTAGCGTTTGCTTGTATAGATTTTCTAGTACTTTTTTCCAAAGCACATAATGTTTGAAAGAATAAAAGGAGTGTGGTATTTCTTTCTTAGCTTGTGGATAATATTTTTACATTCGCTGATTCATTTTTAATGTTTTTCATTTAGTAAATCATGTTTTAGTATCGACGGCCTTTTGGAGATTTTGAAGGTTTTTTTTTGTTATGAAACATTTAGTTTTAATAAATCGACTAATGCGGAACTTATGTTACAGGTTTTTTTTCATTTAATTATGTATGCATACATATTATGAATTACCAAAAATTATTGGTATGCATCGTTTTATTTAGATATTTAATATTTTCGCATTACATGGTTGTCGGCCATTTTGTGTAATAAAAGCAAGATGGCGTCCTGTCACATAAGTTCCCGCGACGGTTTCGCGCGTTCAGCGTTTGGTTGTTAGCTGTCATTGTAACGAGCATTGTATGTATTTATATAAAACATTGAGACATGGCTTCTATGTACGTTCTATTCTATATTATGTTAGCAATCGATGGATTTATAAGGAGAAAGTTTTAATAAAAAATATGAAATTTATTTGGACGTTTTATTTCTTTAATTAGATTGAACCGGTGGATGTAAATCGAACTAAATTATGACAGCTTACTAGCGCCCCTGTCAATGTCAAAATAACCTGATTGTGTACTCTAGCTGTCATGTCACTTTCTCTAAGTAGGTTTTATTTGTATTCTGACAGAAACAACCGCGATAGCAGCGCCTCTTACAGGTTCAGAAATCCTTTGACTGTTACTGGTTTGACACATTTTAACTTTACTGTCCTGTGAAAATTGTAAGTCTCACACAGCGAATGTCTTTGACTGTACTTTGATATAAGAAATTGATCGGAAAAAATAAAACACCTTTAAATTGACACTTGCCTTTATTAAATAATTATTACATTTCAACTTTATGTTATATTATGTTACATAGATACAATTTGCCAGCCCTTACAAAATGTACCCACGTAAATAAATGTATGAATTAAAAATAAAACAATAAAAGAAAAATATAATAAAAGACGAAGCGTAGATAACGAATTTAGATTAGCATTTTAGAAACCTTTAAGAGGATTTTTTTTACATGAAACGAAGAAAATTAAAAAAAAATGTATTTTCTTTTTTGAATAAATAAAATACTAAATACATTTAATTGTAACTTTCTCTATCTACGTTTTAACATTAATTTTGATATTAATTTAAAACATCTAAAAATTACAGAATACAACAGACAAAAACACATTCAAATTAAATTATTTATTTTATAGTAACATCTTAAAATATTGACTAGTATAAACAACGCTATTAAGCCTTGTTTAAGTGAGTTTTCACTGTCCTACTTGTATAAGAACATGTCATCCCACTCTTTGAAAAATACATGTTTTAATACTAGTGTTACAGCAATGAAATTCACTTTTATATTTCAAAATTGGCAAAACGTTCTTACGAATAAGATATGTCAGTAAATGAAGTCTTCAAGACGGAAGAGTTCGCTTTGGATTTCGGATTTGATTGCGTCTAATACGATGTCTCCTCTAGGCTCGATTCTGAAACAAATAAAGTGACTTTTGGACATGTAAAAGGAAAAACACATTAGTATATGGCGGGATTCGAACCCAGGACCTGCAGATTACGGTAAAAAGATAGTTTAACAGTGGTAGAGCCCGCTTTAACATCTTCACACGAATTGGCCCGGCTCGTCCGGTGAAATACCACGACTACACAGAAGACAGGCGGGAAGTGGAAGCAATTCCGCGTTTCGTCTGATGAGTGTGCGTCCCGGAGGTCTAATTTAGTCGTCTTTACCTTCCCACCCAATCTCTTATAAGGAGAGGATGGGAAGTGGAAGTGGACTTTCCGGATGAGGGGATGCATGGGAAGGGAAAATATGTTTTTCCTGTGCATCCTATCCTTCGTCGATTAAAGGAAGGCAACGCATATGCAATTACGTATGTCTATGGGCAACTGTCATTTCGCTATTTCAGCGATATCAGGTGGCCGCTCGCTCGTTTGCCACCTTATGATATAAAATAAAAAGTTAGACATGACAGCCGTTCCACTTACCATCGGTCCACTTCTTGCCTCGCATTCCAAAGAATCCCATCTGCGCCTTCCGCTTTGGCCAGGGCCCGTTCTCTCCCAACAGGAACTTGATCTCTTGTGCGTTCTTAACATTCTTCTTCCCGCGAACACCAATAAACTTGCCACGGAACGATAGATCGTACGGCCGCTTATTCTGAATCGACTTCTTTCCTCGTACACCGTAGAATTGATGAAGATTCGCACGCTTATCCACTTCATTAGTCATGTCAAAGTCGTTCGGTATGATCTCTGTGTCGATATGTTCAGGACTTAGATTAGATCCTTGCAGTTTTTGAATGTAATCAGTAATCAAATCATCAAATGGCTCCTGATTGATAGGTAGCTCATTAGCTGCGTACTCTATTTGTCCGAACAAAGAGCCAACACTTTGGGGATAGTTATTCGGGAACATTAATTCAGGATATTCTTTTTTTCCTCGCATACCAAAGAAACCCATTCTCGCTCGTTTGTCGTAATCTGTATCGGCGTTTTTCTTTCCTTTAACACCGACGAAGAATTGAGGTTTTCGCTTGTACAATTCTCCTATCTCTTCAGAGTCTAAGTATTTTTTGCCGCGCATGCCGAGGAAGCCTTGTGGTACGCGCTTGTCCATATCCTGCGCGGTGGCCACGCAGATCAAGTTGATGATGATGAAAAGCAGACAGGTCTTTGGGGGAATCATTATTGATATCTGAAAAAAAGAGAAATATTTAATTTTAAGGGACGACTAAAGTTTTCTTCTTGTGGTGTGTAAATGCGTCTTCCCATAGTAAGCTACACTATGCATCATCATCAACCTGCCCTTATCCCTATCGAGGGTCGGCACAGTATGTACTACTCCTCCATACATCTCTATCAGCCGTCATATCCGAGTTTACCCCCTTCTTACGCATATCCTCTTACACACAGTCATTCCATACTTTTAAAAAAGTAAGCTCCACTATGCATATGTCATTTAATCAAAAATGTACGTCAAGAAATATAAATTAAATTTTTGCTTGTATAAAAATTACAATCTGAACAGAAACAATACCGTACTGTTACAATAAAAAATCGCAATACAAATATCCTATCTGTCGCCAGCGACTCTATCCGCGCGGGATTAAAATAGATAGTTGCCGATTCTCAGATCTATAGAATATGCATATAAAATTTTATAGAAACATATAAACCCGTTTCGAAGATATATGTTAACTAACATTGTGACGCAAGAATTTTATATATGTATACACCGACCACATAACACTAAACGTAGCATAAGACTGATATTACTCCAAACACAAGATACCTTGTTAGTTGTCAAACTATGTTGACTTTAGAAATATCATGGACCACTTGGGACTAAAAGTGTGTAAACAAGGCTTTAGGTCACGTTACAACGTCAAGGTTAGCCTGAGGAAGTCCTTTCTTTTAAATAATAAAGTCAAATTGGGTTCAGTAGAATATTGTATGCTATACTCGCTGTCACCCGCGACTTTGTCTGCGCGAAATTAAAAAAAAACATAATTAGTAGCCTATGTGTTTTTCTAGACTATGTTCTATATGTATGCCAAATTTCATCGAGATCCGTTCAGCCGTTCTGGAGATACCTTCAAACAAACATCCATCAATCTAAACATTCGCATTTATAATATTAGCAAGAAGTAAGATTATGCTTCCTATGTGAATACGACGCGAAGCTAATTTACAGTATAATCAGCGTAATATATTATTTATTTAATTAGGGGTTTCTCGAACAGCCTAGACGTCTGAAGTGACCAATCTATATATAAAA